GTGAGGTGGGGGCCATTTGTGCGCTTCTCCATCCCAGACAAATGGCTCTCAGCTGCATCCCAACCTACAGCACCACATCCTCTCCCTACCAGTGGCCGAGCTGTTCCACGGGTTCTTTGGCGACCACGTCCTCACATGCTTTCTGTCTTGAGCCTCTCAGTGACTCTGTAGAGATGACAGTTGGGGTCAGATCTTAGGAGTGTCATCGCAGCCATTGTTATATCTGGGTCTGAGTGAAGTTGTGTCTTTGCCAACTCCACCCAGCCGGATAGTGAGGAAGCTGGGATTCAAACCCACATCCTCTGGCTTTTCCTTGGATGTCTCTTTCTCCACACTGTGCTCTTTCACTGGGGGTAGATCTTTACACTTCCCTCTGTCCAGATGTGCTATGACTCAAGAAAGATCTGTAGGAATGCTGCAGAGGAAAGGAGGAAAGGGGTATATGTGTGCATGTGCCAAGACAGAGACCAGAGCCTGGCCCAGACAATGTTATTTTTGTTTCCTTTTTTTTTCCAGTGTTGCTCTGAATTCCTCTTCCTCCCCACTCCACCCAAGGTGTCAAACAGATGTGAAAATACCACAGAACTCAAGCCTCAACCCTGGTTTATGATTCATTCATTGGGATGGGGAAAAACAATGCAGGAGATTGCTATGGTGATGCCTGTTTACAGAGGCAGCATGGGAGACATCGGTCGTGGGCAGAGATTAGAGAGCATCCTTGGGTTTGCAGAGAGGCTCAGCATTCCGCTGCCCAGCCACAGGGGAGAGACAGGGCAGAAGCTACTAATTTGGCTGGAGCTGGGACAGCCAAGCCACTAGGTGTGTGCCTTTTGTTTTTATCAAAGAGAAATTATGTTCTCTTACTCTATTGGTTTATGTATTTTCTGCCCTCTCATCCAGTAAATACATTTACACATGGCAAAAATGCTTAGACTCATGGTAGATGGGCATCAGGATTCGATGGCTAAAAGTGACCTGGCCTATAGGGTCATTGTTATAGAGCTGGGGTGGTGGGCCAGCTTGCTCTGCAGACACGAGGACCTGAATCATGACCCGAAGCACTCATGCAGAAATCCAGGCACCGTGGTGTTTGTCTCTAGTCCCGGGACCCAGAGGGGAGACAGAGGATCCTGAGTGCTCTTGAGTAAGGCAGGCTGACCAATTGGTGAGCTCCAGACTCTGCCACAAAAACCAAAATAAGGCAGAGGACAGAGGAAGGCATGGCATTGACTTCTGCCTCCATAGGCACATTTGTGGGCGTACGTCCTTGTGTGCGAACACACATGTGTGCGCACACACACACACTCCTGCACACACCTGGCCTCTGCATTCAGGCAATCTGGGTTCTCATCCTGTTTTTTTGCTTACTGGCATGTGACCTCATGGCTAAGTTTCTTTCTGGGTGAAACTCTTCTGAAGAGCAGAGGAGGAGACTAAGTCTCCTTGTGTGAAAAGTGAGATAATAAACAATGGCTGATGGATTCAAGATGTACACAGAGTGCTTAGCAAAGTGCTTGGTGCATAGTGTGGTCTCAGCAGAGAGCCGCTCTTTGGGAGGTTCACCTGCAGACAGTCATCTGTTGATGGAGACAATAATACCCATTGTTCAGACCTGTTAGAAAGACAGGAAGAAAACCAGGAAGGAGAGAAAGTGAAGACATTGCACTTGACAGTACAGACTGCTGTGACAAATAGTCCCTGGAAGCTGTTTCTGGAATCTGTCTGAGTCTGATGTGTACAAATCAGGAGGCAAGGCAGTCACCCAGGGACTTGGGCTCAGACCGCTCGCCACGTTGGGCGTCGTCCTCCACTATTTTCTGAAACAGGCCGAGGAGGGGCGTGGAGCAGTGGGCAGGGAGTTTTACGGCTCTGCCCTGAAGGCAGCGTGTATTATTTTGGCCCATTGTGCAGCGCTATGAACTTGGTCACATGGTCACACTCAAGGAAATCTTGGAAGTGCTGTCTGTGCATTCACAAAAGTGCTTGGATGGACAGTTGACTAGCCTGCCAGTGTTCCATAAATGGAGTAATGTAGTGCCATAGTGATTTCCATGCTTCCGTAAATTCCACCTGGATGGGCAGACGTCCTTGGTTAAGCAGTCCACTGGGCTGAGGATGAGAGCGGGGCCATTTCTTACCTCATCTCCAGAAGACATAAAGGCCTTCCTTCCTGAGCCATTCTTGACTATAATAACTGACTGAGGTCTCAAAGCAGCAGCCATGACATCACCTTTGCCATGGAGAGCCATGGGAATGGATTCCACTCCTGGTGGTGAGTTAAACATTCAGTAGGTGTCTTTTTCTTCCTCTTTGTTCCACACCTTTAATATTATGAAATAGATCACCCCAACGTTAATGGATTAAGACACAATGCTTGGGAAATGGGGTACCTGGTTTCCTTGGGTGAACTAAAATTTCATGGTGCACGTAGGTAGGGGAGTGTACTTCAACTAGTTAGAGTAATCCCAAAGGCTGAGACGGAGAATTTAGTAAGTGGTGGGTAAGTACCATGAGTATAGCATCTCATTTAACCTTAAAAAAAAAAAGCTTTTGAGGTTGGTTGTGCCATTTCTGACCCTTAGTCACGAGGCCACTCAGGAGGTTGGTTGGGTGAGGAATTCAGTTCCAGGACTGTGTGATGACCCCCATGGTATATTCCACACTGCGTGTCCTCGGTGCCTCCGTGGCACGCTGCATCCCTTCTCCTAATGAATATTAATTGGAACTATCAGTACAGCAGCTGGCAGCATGATCTGCTGCAGTCCCACGCTGTGTCCTGGTAATTAACCCCTTAGCTGCCTTGTCATATTCCCAGTTGTCAAGGTCCCCACACATCTCTCCAGCTTCTGGAGGGAGCGGAGAAGAGTGCTCCCAATGCTGGAGAGGTTGCCGGGTCGCGGCTCTCTCTCCGCCGATGTGTGATGCTAGCATCGCGGTCCTTCTGCATTCCCAGCGTGCCTTGGTCCCTTCCTTCACCGACAGCCTGCATAGGTCGTGAAGGTGAATTGGGGTGGTCCTCCATCACAAACTAAGAAACAGTTCGGATGGCTGGTCTAGGAGAGGGGAGATGGAAGAATGGGAGGTGGAGCCTAGGGGAGGTAACCCAAGGACATGTTTGATTTTTATCTTACTGTAATTTCTGATATCAGAAGAGTTATTTCTCCTTAGACATGCTTGTTCCTCACACAAAGTACAAACACTGGAAACGGCTCTCCTCTTCGTCTGCTGGGACAGTTCTCAACCTGTGGGTCGCAACCCCTTGAGGGTCATGTGTCAGATAGCCTGCATATCAGATATTTACATTATGATTCATAACGGTAGCAAAATTACAGTTAGGAAGCAGCAGCCGATAATCTCATGGTTGGGGGATGGTCATCACAACGCGAGGAAGTGCATTGAAGAGTTGCAGTCTTAGGAGAGTGAGAACCATTGCTCTACAGCAAGCCTGTAACTCACAGGTCTTCCTGGCGACCTGTTGCAGGACAGGCGACCCTTGGTAACCCAGGTAGCCTAACCTGATGCTTTGGCTAACCACAGACGCATAATAGCAGTGTTGCCAGAAGATTTACCACTGTGTGATGTCCGGGCTGGTAAATCTGTGTGTGTGAACTCTGCTGTTTGTACCACGAAAGCAAGGCAACCACACAGTTTTCGAAGCAGATTCTGTGCATTGAGTGATTTGTGACAGTATATAAATGGTCATTTACAGACACCCTATAGAAACTACCGGGGCCCAAACCCTGAATCTTTTCTTCTCATCAGGAGGGCGCAGTATGTAGGAATTCATCCTTCAGCTTCCACTGTTAAAAACTGTAACATTATTTATGGTCCTCCCCTCCCCCATTTTTTTTTTCATCTAGGGCTCGTAGATGATTTTAGGGAATACAGAATATTTATCCAGTTGTTCACAGGTTTGTTCTTAACTTGACTTCCCCTTTAACCTTGGTTTCCTGCCGCCTACGGTGCCTCCTTCACCTTTACCCCAGTAACTGCCCCCCCGGCTTTCAGCTCCCCCATGACAAATGTGCCTAAGCTTCCAAGTTGAGGCCGGAATCATCCAGGCAGCTGCCTTTGCCTACTGTGTGGAATTAGCTTTTACTACATGCTGTGTACAGGCTCGACTGTGTTGGCACCTGTTAGAAACTAAACTCAGGAAATTGACGAACTAGTTAGAAACTAGACAAGTTTTGTTTTGTCTATTGGACAAGGTTGTGTTGTCTATTTATATCTATCTAGCTATGTACCAAAGCCAGTGAACATTCTTCTGGTTTCAAGGAATAGAGTAGAGTGGCTCTTTTCATCTTCTGGGTCTGGAACACCGTCCTTTAGTGGAGGCAAGATGGCTTCTGGGAACTCTGAGCTGATTTAAACCCAAATGAAAATAAAATGGCATAGATTGGCTCACAAAATGCTAAAATACAGAAGTATCTGGCTTCAGGCACGAGTAGATCCGAACACTTAACAGGACGGCATGAAGAATGTCTCTTTTCGTCTTCTGAGTCTGGAACACTGTCCTTTAGTGATGGCAAGATGGCTTCTGGGAACTCTGGGTTGCTCTGCTACCCACTAGATAGAAAGTTATTCTTTGAATCATGCATGCATTCCTGAGACAATGAAAGGGATTGAAGGTACTTAAAAGCCTAGCCTGGGTCAGCTACTCCTCCCTGGAACCCCTGGAATCTTGAGGAGGCCTCAGCTTTACTTGTGAAAGTTAATCTGAAAATTGGGCGGACTGGGGACACTGAGAGATAGTTTGTTACTTGAATAAGGGACCACAGAAGACAGGCAGTTAAGTGTAACGGGCTCTGCTACATACATAATGAATGGCTTATTCCATACAATTTCCTTAAGGTTAGTTGGGCATGCTCAAGGGATATCATTAATCATTGCAATTGCCTTCCCCCTGACAGGCATCGTCCCCCCAGTCCTAGCCAGTCTGCCTTGAATAGACTGTAAGTGTAACCTGCAAAAATCTGACCTGAATTTTCTTTCCATTGCAGTGACCTGGACAGAAATAACATCACCAGGATCACCAAGATGGACTTCGCTGGACTGAAGAATCTCCGAGTCTTGTAAGTAGCAGATGGTGTGCCAACGAGTTTTCATTTGCAGCTAGCTCTTCAGCCTGTGAAAATGTCGCGCTGCCCTGACATCACATTCCCGAGCTCTGGGCCACAGGAATCCACGCTTCTGCTGCAGAAAGCCCTTCATTACTGTGCCAAGTGTTCACAGATATCAAATTGTATGGCTGGGTGCTGCTGGCTGGGCGAGATCGATAGGAGAACCGGGTGCCAGTGACAGGAAAAACAGAAGGCAATAAATGAATTAAGTCAACATGCCCTGCTTCCTGGATGACAGCAATGTCAGGTGGACTAACCATGCTTCGCTTCCATAGAGATTCTAATTTCTTCCCCAGCTTGCGTATTAAGAGAGCAATTGGGACAGATGCTATTTTTCTTCCTGCTTAATGGAGAGGAGGGGAGGAGAGATGGAGAGGGCCAGGCAAGGGCAGAATCCTTGCTGACCATTCACAGCTGTGCAGACAGGTTGCAGAGTATGAGGTAGGCATTGATGGAACAGGGGGACAAGAAACAGCGGGTCTCCTTTCTGAAGAGTGGAGAATTTTGCCTTGACCCAAGGTTTATGTTTGGTAAGAAGAGGCCTATGGACTGTTGACTGAAAAGTCTGACGTTCAGAAAATGACAGTGGAGCAATTGGGTTCTCTATCTTTCCTTCCTTCTTTATTGTTGATTCTTACCCATAGTGTGGCCCCTGCCCAGGAGTGCAGCCTGGGAAGTTTGATCTCCAGCTTTGATGTTATATGTCATGGAATCTTGGCTGGCTCATCTTTATCGGCAGTTACGGTTAACTCATTGCTACCAGATCCCACCTCCCTTAACACATACTTTTTTAAAGATTTATTTCATTTTATGTGTATGAGTGCTTTGCTTGCATGTATGTGTGTGCACCATATGTGTGCCTGGTGCCCTCAGAGGCCAGGAGAGGGCATCAGATCCCCCCTGGAACTTGAGTTACAGATGGTTGTGAGCTGCCCTGTTGGTGCTGGGAATTGAACCGAGGTCTTCTACAAGAGCAACAAGTATTCTGAACTCCTGAGCCATCTCTCCAGCCTCCCACATCCCTGTGTCCACTCAGCTCTACAGAGCAGGATGATTTTATCCTTGGGACAAGAAGTGTCAGATTCTGATTTGATTTGGGATTAATTGCTCATGCAACTTTGGGGAAATCCCTGTACCCACTTGGATCTCAGCTTTCCCTTCAGCAGCATAGGAAGTGAATACTTCCAAGTCCTCTCAACTCCAGTTATTCCTGTAGTGCGTCGGGGCTTTGACATTTTCTCGAGCAGCATTTGAGTACTGCCTGTCACTGTGTAATGCGATTTCTTGTTTGAGACGTGTTAGTGATAATGCGAATACTGATGGTGACCAACATTTCCTTGGTTGCCTCCCGTGGACCTGGTGCAGAGTCAAGCAACAGAACATATGAGGCCGGCATTATTATGGCCCCCTTTTTTTGCAGGAGGGGAAATGGCACTGGATTAAGAAATCTCAGCTCCACACGGTGAGGGACAGAGGAGTGGGAATTAGCGTGCAGACAGTACTTCTGTGCTCACACTGGAGGAGGGTGGGAGGAGGAGGAAGAGGAAAGGACGTGCAGCTCCAGTGCATGGGTTCTTGCAGAGAGAGAGGGGAAGGACATGCAGCTCTGGTGTGTAGAGTGTTACCTGAGGGTTCCTCCCTCTGGGCCAGTGCACAGGGATGCAGGAGTCTGATGCTGGGCCTCCAGCTACCAGATGCTCCCTCCATAGACGCACTCTTTCCTCTTTGGTGGTGGACACCCTTCTCTCATTCTGAGAACGAAGACCTACCTGTGCTAAGGAAGCCTTTCCTGTGCTCTGAGCACCTGTGTGTATGACTGACTGCTCTGATAAGGTCAACACCCATCAGAAGGGACGTTGGCAGAGGTATGAGGGGATCCCTTGGTTCAATTTTAGGGTACTTCGTATTAAAAAGAATGGCAGGAGACTGCTGCTTCTAGGTCATTTGCTGATTTAAAAGGCAAAACTGTGTTTAGGCTTTTGCTTTGCATCTTTTTGCCCCCATTTCCTCCACTTGTGTCTGTACGAGATGTTTTTTTCATACAAGTCAAAATTCACCTAATGCTTCACTTTCTAACCAAGTCAAAAATAACGTTTTGATTTTCTTACTGCTGCATCAGAGAGACTAATAAAAATTCCAATTTCCATATCTGCTCTCTGCAAATAGAAAGTTTAAAATAATCACAAAAGATGACATTAATGTCTTCTGCGTAGCCTACAACACTCCTTAGACTACAGTTTATCTTTTGAGTTAATTGGTGCATTCTTCTGTTTTGATAGGCAGTACCAAAATGCCTTTTACCTCTTCTTTATCGACTGTTAATAGATCTGTTTCATTATCTCCCTTATCAGCTCACAGACAGTCCCTTTCAAGTGGCCCTTTAATTTGATGAAAGAAACCTGCTAGGTGGAATAGCTGAGACGCCTTCTCACACCAATAAAATATCCAAACATTTTAATAGTATTTTCCCCCCATCTAGTCTTCTCAGCTGAGTAACCTAGAGAACTCTTTTTTATTCTCTTTTGAAAAGCTTTCATCACATCCTGGCATATTCCCCATGCCTGTTTCTTATTTACAATTTATGGGGAAGCAATAAAAGACTCAATAGTCTTGAATAATTTGAGCTTGCCCCCCATTTCCATGCAGAATGCCTTCTATCTGCTAATATGGTGCAGGTGAATGGGTAAACACAGAACAGAGGCTGGCACCCTTCCGTCTCATCCCAGGGCCATTTTCCCTAAATGAAGCAGAGATGTAGGAGTTGCCTGCGACAATCATCTCTCCCACAGGTTGGGAGCAGGGAAAAGTCTCTTCTGTTGGTATCAATTATATCCTTTTTCTTAGTAATCCATTTAAGGACTTGCTGTGTTCACAATGTGGGAGCCAGCTTTATCCGAAATGGGGTTAATAAAAGAGTTAAACTCCGCCTCGGCCGTCATCACATGAGGGCCATTTCCGATTCTAATCTAGTGAAGAAAAAAAGAAAAAGAAAAAGAAGAGCCAAAGAACTGAAAATGAACACAGTCTGTGTCCCCCTAACTCAGAACAGACACCAGCCTTGGGCAGCCCTTGTGGGAACCTAAAACCTAGCCTGACCTTGATCCCACGTCCTCCTGCATCTGGCCAGCGAGCTAGGACCGAATCAACAGCGTTCTTCCATGCCCTTAGCTTGCAGAACTGCTTGAAGTCCCCACGCAGGTTCTGTGGCTCACTTACCCATTGCCAGATGCTTTTATTTGTCAAGTAGTCTTTAACCGAGCCTTTAAATGCCAGGCATGAGGCTGGACTTCGATGGGTTTAGGAAGTCCATCTGAAAAGGATCCCGGATACCTTTCCAACAGGAACCAAAGGATGCTGCAGGGGGCAGGCGAGGAGAGCTAACATTGACAGAGGTGTGGGTGGGATGAGAGACTCCAGGAAGAGGTGATACAGGTCCTCAGGGTAGTGAGGACAGAGCCACAGCTGCCTAGAAGCCTTGGGGAGCAGCGGGGGAACTGGATCTTAGAGCCCGACAAAAGTTGCTGTAGTCTTCAGGAGGGGGACACAGTCACCCTGGAGTGGTTGGGTCAGGAGGGAGAAGGGTAAATCTCCCAGCCCCACCGCCCTTCCGCTGTTCCCGGCTCCTGCTAGGAAAACCCAGTGGCTGAAACCAACGGTGAGTAGAGGCTGAGAAGCCCTTTGGAAAGGCCAGCTTCCCAGGGCCTGAGCAAGATAGAGTAGGGGCAGCAAGCTCACACGCATGTGTTCACACATCTCCGTTTCCTGAAAGAGACTTGCGGTGGTAGCGTAATGAATACAAAGTAAGCTCCGTTCTAGGAGGTCCGAGTTAAGCGCCTCCAGACATCTGGAGGTTAACACTCAGCCATTCTGGAGTTAGGCCTTGTTCTAATCGGAGGACAGCGAGCGCTGGTAGATTGATTGATTGATTGATTGATTATAAAAGTCTGGCTGAGCAACTCCCCTAGTTGCTAGTATTGAACTGACACCCTGTTTGGTAAATGTGCTAATAAACGTCAGTTGGCTTCCCGAGGCCTCCTTGCCATATGGCAGGAGGGAGATGAGGAGGAAAGGGGAGGGGGAGGGAGGATCATTTATTAAAAGGCAGATTATTACTTCAGACACCTGGCTTGATGATTTATTTACTCTATTTTTATTCTTATAAGTCCTTCTGTGATGTCGTCTTTTCTGTATTTTACAAATGAGGAAACCGAGTCTTAAAGATGAGGACTAGCTTGCTCAATACAACACCACCATCTAGTTAAGAGGTGGGCAGAGAGGGCCCTGGGGGCTGGAAAGTTCTCCCCCTAAGCTGTGTGGTTCCCCGTGGGCAAGTTTCTTAGCTACTCTGTTCTGATCCGTTAAATGACAGACATAATGTTAAACGGCCAGGGACAGAAGTCACAGGACTATTAGGTCTGAGAGGCTGAGGATTCTGAGGAACAGGCTGACCCTCCTGGCCTGTTACAGCAAACATACAAACGTGTTACGTATTTGAGCCTAACAGATTACCCTTGCGTGCCCTGATAGAAGCCTCACATCGCTGACTGGCCTTCTCCTCTATGGAAAGTCGGTATGTGCAGGGCCCACAGCTGTGCTTTTCATTCAGTAAGCGGACATGGCAGGCCATGGTGCATGGCTGGAGTGTGAGGAAGTTGGGGCCTCTTCTGTAATTCTTGGGAAGAGAGGATTTCCCCCCAAAGACACACAAAGGTTGAGCCGTAAGCCTAAACCATGCTGAAGGTTTGGGCTGTCCGAGAGGTGGGCTCATCGTTGTTGTGGAAGGTCTGTTTTGGAATGGAAGGTGCGCCCTTCCCAGGCCATACTTCTGCCGATCCAGAGGAAACTGTGGCCTTTCCTAAATACCTCCTCCTCTCAAGAAACAGCCTTCAGTCACAGCTGCAAGTCCCCCAAACCCCACGCAGCCACCAAATGCAGTCCCTGTCATTTCTTGGCCCATTTCTTACCCAGAATCCACGCATCATGCTTGCATCCCTTCCCCACTGTTCATGTTATCCAATTTAAGCTGCCCTTTTCTCCCCCTTGGTAAGTCGTGGAAACAGATGTCTTACTGTATGGTCAACTCTTAGGGTGTGCCACATGCATGGGTCAAGCTCACTTATGCAGAGTGTTTAGGATGTCTAGTCACCTGATGGGAGAACTTAGAGATCCAGCAAAGCCTGCAGCCGGGGATAGGGATGACTTTTTAGAAGGTTGGGATGTGCCTGGCCCTGCATGAGGGAATCCCTGGGTCCAGGCTAGCCGTCATGTACACCGTGCTTTTTCACGGCGACCCGATCCTTCCTGTGAGGTTGAGCAGGGAGGGCCCTTTTCAATGAAGTATTTTCGAATCCTTGGAGGAGGGAGCTCCAAGGGAAGAGGTGTTGAATGTGCCTGGTTTCTCCAAGGAGCAGCTCTACCTCTTCCATTCTGTGCACATTCTGCAGTGCTCGGGGGGACATTTGCTGGGAACATTCTTAAAATAGAGAGACATGGAAGCCAATCTGTCAGGTAGAAGTGTGCAGGCGGTGAAAGCCTGGTTACCGTGACACCACACTGGGATGTAGTGAGTTTGTCCCATCAGAGTGATCCTTCCAACTGGAGGGACCCGGGGTCCTAGGAGGGGATATGGGATACAGCTGCACAACCTTAAGGCCTCTTAGGATGCTTCCTGACCATTTTAGCCCTTGACCCTGGCTGCCTTTCTGATTCCAGGCATCTGGAAGACAATCAGGTGAGCGTCATCGAGAGAGGCGCCTTCCAGGACCTGAAGCAGCTGGAGCGATTGTAAGTAGAGCACATAACCTTGTGTCCTTAAAAAAATGTTTTCTGCATTTATTTTGTTTTGTTTTGTAAATTGGTCTTGTGGCCTTGGTAAAAACAAGTCTTCGGTGTTCAGTGAAATGTTTCCTACTATATTTAAAGTTGCTTTGAAGTATGTTACAGAGGCACTGAGGTCCAAATAAACTCTTCTAGCAAGGCTGTAGAGGCCAGCATGTGGGGCCGGATTTCTTCCTCCTGGGCTTGAGGTAGCCCTTGCTTTCCTCACATGGGGTTGCTTCCACCCAGCCCTCAGCTTCTCCTTTCCCATGGGAGTGAGCTAATGTCATGGAAGCTATCAGCAGGACCCTCCCCTACTCCTCAGGCTTCTCCTGCCGGGACTCCTCCTGGTACTCGGTGGGAGAGGAAGGATGGGCGAGTGGGCGCAGCCTTCCGCAGCCTTCCGCGTGCCTGCTTCTCCGAGCGCCAGCCTGTCTCAGGAAACCCACACGTTTCCACGAGAGAACACATTGCCACTGGTTTAAAATAGGCCGCTGTTCTGACTTGATCAGAGAGAGGGTGGGCAGCGAAAGAAGCGGGGCCGGGAGTTGGATGGAGCCTCCATTTATTTTACCCATGAATGCTTTTGCAGAAAACTCTGGGGTCATTTTGATGAGGGAGGTTGCTCAGATGGTTAAGTGGGCAGCCTCACCTTTTCCTCAGTTAATCACAGCTGACAGCTCATAACATCTGGATATTTGCTTTCTGCCCTCTGAGTGGGGATTGTCCCCAAGAGCACTTAGTCATGCTGGTGGGCGGCTCTCATCGATGCCTCCCCCTGCAGCCCCATTGCCCTGACATTTCAGCTTCATTCTGTACTGGGGGCTGGGACATGGCTCTGCCAGCTTACCTGGAAAAACACTGCTCTGCTTATCCGTCCTGTTGCCAAAGCTCACTTGCTTTGAGACAAGTCTCTTTTATAGAGACTTGCTCGGGTGAAATGGACTGCCCGACCCCACTTTCTTTTTTAGTGATGTGTTATCCTTGCCCCACAAAGTCATTATATCCAAGACCACTTGGCAGCGGGGGAGATCCTTGTCTCGTGGGGATTAATAGGACCCAGAAAAATGCATTCCTTCCCACTGTGGTGTGGACTCTCTCAGCCACTGTTTTCTTCTGGATCAAACTCCAGCATGAATTTTGCCATCACCAGTTTGAAAATACGACATTTATTTCTAGTAAGAGAAAAAGGTTATTTAAAAAATTACGTTATTTTTGTTTATATTTTGATCTTCAGGTTTCCTAAAATTTAAGTTCTCCTTTTTTGGACCAAAGAAAACATAATAGTATTCGTTGAACCTCATTCCTCTCTGTGAAATAACCAACATTTACATAGAAAAATAAACACATGGTCCGGTGTGAAAAAGCTGCCTCTTGCTTAGTTTTGTGATTAGAAGGGTAAATAAATTCTTAATTTGTTAATTTCATGGTTGTTGGGAGGGAATTAGCGAGGGCTTTGGAGACACCAGGACCTGCGTGTGTGTCTCACATGTGATCAGCTCTTTTATTCTCCCCCCTGCCAAATGACAACAAGCACAACGAGGTGCCATTACCCTCATTTAGCAGATGAAGAAACAAAAGCCCACGGAGAGGAAGCCAAGGAATTGTCAGGGCTGGGTAAGATTCCAAGCCACATCTGTCTGACATCAAAGCCCACGTCCTTTCCTATCCCTGGGTTGCAGACACGAGATGAAGTGTGAGCTTTTTGCGGTGGCCCTCTCCTAGCCTCGCACATACCCGTTCAGCTCCAGGGAGGCTCAGGGAAATAGTTCTGGCAAAGGTCTCTGTTCTTTGGAGTGGTGAACAAGGCCAAAATACCATGCGTGTCTGGGGACCTGAAGGGATTACAATCGCTGAGCAAATCTGGCTCGTTGTCTGTTTTGGTAGATTCGGTGGGTAATGCTAGCCACACTACTACATAAACCCTCAAATCTCAGTGACTTAGCACAGTGGAAATTCGCTTCTAATTCCTACAAACTCACTATGGACATTCCTGTTAGGGACCCCCCTCTCTCTCCCAAGTACAGACTCGGAGACAGGGACCATCCATGCCCAGCTGCTGCCGTCTTTGTATCTTGGTTTGCAAAGTACAAATGCATCAAGTCAGCAGGTGAGGAAATGGCATGGAGCTCCGGGCAGTGGACGTTCCATGTGAGACTGAGAAGGAGTATTCCATATATATCCGTTCCTGCCTCCTGTGAACTAGCCGCGTAGCTATAGTTAAACTCCAGGGAAGACCGACAGAAGTGACCGAGTTCTGTGACGGGAGGTGGGCTTAGCTTAGTGGATAGGTAGTCAGTCTGGCTTCTGTTGCATGGGAGCTGGAGAGGTACTTGGGCAGGAAGATGGGAAGTATCTGTCATTTGATAGGCATCAGAGTCAACAAGAAGGTAGGGGTGAGTGTGTGTGTGTGTGTGTGTGTGTGTGTGTGTGTGTGTGTATGAGAGAGAGAGGGAGAGAGAGAGGGAGATAGATAGATGTGTGTGTGTGTGTGTGTGTGTGTGTGTGTGAGAGAGAGAGAGAGAGATGAAGTGTATGTATGTGAGAGATAGATAGATAGATAGAT